GGGTGCCTGGCCAGCCTGGGTGAGGGGCTGATGGCTGTTTGCAGGCTGGCCATGGCCCCCAGCCACCCAAGCTCCCAGTGGAGGCTGGCTGGAAGCAGGTATCTGGGATTTATTTGTCTTCTATAATTGAAACTTTGTTGCCATGAGTGGAGGCCACAGCCAGCTCAGGGCCGGTGGGAAGCTTGGCTTCCTCTATCTCCCGGGCAACCAAGCCTCCTGCTTGCTCCAGCTCCGTGACTGCCGGCCGCCATCTTGGTTGGGTTAATTTGCATATAGTCACTCTGATTGACTGGTGGGCATGGCTTAGGGCATAGTGAAGGTATGGTCAATTAGCATCTTTGTCTTTTATTAGTGTAGATGTCCCACATGGCAGCATTTGGCTTGGGAATATGTTACTTTGTGTGCCACAGCCCCTACCACTCCAGATTGCCTCATTTGACATCGAGGCAGAGGGTTCTTTGCCACTGACCATCACCTAGGCTGGCACTGTTATCATCCCTGTGGAGAGAAAAGGTGCTGAGGCCGTGTCTCTATCTGAAGTGGAGAAATGAGCCCTAACTGGTTTAGCTCAGTGGATAGAGTGTGAGCCTGCGACTGAAGGGTCGCAGGTTTGATTCCGGTCAAGGGCAGGTGCCTCGGTTGCAGGCTCAATCCCTGCCCTGGCTTGTGTACGTGTGGGAGGCAACCAATCAATGTGTCTCTCTCACACGAAAGTGTCTCTCTCACATTGATGTTTCTCTCTCTGTCCCCCCTCCCTTCCATTCTCTCTAAAAATCAATGGAAAAATAGCCTTCGGTGAGGATTAACAAAAAAGTAATTTTTGTCCTGCCAGTGGCTCAGTTGTTGAGCATTGACCCATGAACCAAGAGGAGGGTGGTTCGATTCCCAGTAGGGGCACATGCCTGGGTTGCAGGCTTGATCCCCAGTAGGGGGCGTGCAAGAGGCAGCTGATCAGTGATGATTTTCATCATTGATGTTTTATCTCTCTATCCTTCTCCCTTCCTCTCTCTCTCTCTAAAAAAACAACAAAAAACAACAAAACAAAACAAAACAAAACAAACACACACACACACACACCAAAACCCCCCAAACCAATAAAGACATATTTTTAAAAGTAGAGAAATGAAAGGCTGGAAACATGAAAGAGGTGCTGGTAATTTCAGGACATCGAGAGCATGCACATTTCTCTGTGGAACTGGATCCTGTTGTACATAGTTAATGTTTGGCCTCAGCCAGGCCTCTGTTGGCATTTGTGTTTGCGACTCAGGCTTAGGCCTTAGGAAGGACAGGTTCCACATGAGCGCTCCCTTTCCCCGACTTCTCTCCCTGGCAACCTCCTCTTTTCTCCCAGCCCACTCTTTGTCAAGCCTCCCAATCACGCTCCACACCGGAGGGAAGGGGTTCTGCTTTGGTCTTTTCTTGTTTTCTGCAGAGACAAGGACCTCAGGCTCTGAGGGAGGTTCGCCCTTCTCCAGGAACTGATGACGCTGAGGGGGCAGAATGAGAGGGTGGGCATGTTGGGGTTCAGTCCCCCACCAGTCACAGCTCTGATCCTGCCTCCCCTCCCCACAGCCGGTTTCCTAAGCAACAAGCACCTTACCAAGGCAAGCAGTTATTATTATTTCCCCCTGAAGACTTCACATTCTAGTCTTCTGTGAGGACAGAATAGCCATCTTGTTAGTTTCCCTGGTAAAACAATACTCTCAGCATTATGTGCTAAGGATCACTTGCTGCTTCTCCCATCTGAACTCATATTAGAAGTGTCACCACACTGATGTCAAGGGCTTTCTCTCAGCAGTCCCAAATGGCTGGCCCCAAATCTCCATCCTGGTAATAGGGCACACACACACACACACACACACACACACACACACACACACACACACACAGGTTTCAGAACAGGCATGCTCACTCCACACAACAATCTGTCATCCTCATTGGCTCCCAGCCTCTGAGAAAGGTCGAGATCCTTGAGGAGATAGAGGTGGGTACCAAGGATGTCTTTCTGTTCGTGGTCTCCCCTTCACCCCTAGCCCGGCGAACTAGAGGGAGCTCTGCAGGAGGAGGGCGCCTCAGGCAGTGCCAAGGGCAAGCTGGCCTGGCTGGAGGCTGCCCTGCAACAGTCCAGGCAGGACATGGCCCGACAGCTGCGGGAGTACCAGGAGCTCATGGTCGTCAAGCTGGGCCTGGACTTTGAGATCGCCACCTACCGCAAGCTGCTGGAGGGCGAGGAGAGAAGGTAAGGGCTGAGTAGTGCTTCAGATATAGCACAGGGGGTGTGGGGGTCACCACCTGGGGCCTCAGCAGCTGGGCATGGGGTGGGGAAAGGTGACCGGAGTAGCCAGAGACTTGTTTTCCTGGAGGCAGTTTGTTCCCACTATTCAACAGCCCTTTAGACGGAAAGCCCCAGCTAATGAGCACCGTGGCACCTAGGTTAGGGCAACTCATAAAGTCATTCATCCCCAGGACCAGAGAGCAGGGGCTAGTTTGTCCCTCATGACAGCTGCAAGGCCCAGCCAGGGGAGGAAGGTCCCAGTGCAGAGTGCCTTCTTCTCAGTTCTGCCCATCTTCCTGGGACCTGGGGAAGGCAGGGTTTGTGGGAACCAGGAGGGCCTGGCTTTTACTCTTAGACAGCAGTAGGGACCCAAAGACTGTCAGCTCCACCCAGCTGGGGACACCAGGCTGAGGGGAGGGAGAGGGAATCCACTATGCAGCCATGCTACATTTATTATCTCTTTTAAACCCACAACCCCATGGGAGGGATGCTTTTATCAGATGAGGAAACGGAGCCTCAGAGAGGGCAAAAGGACCACCTCAAGGATGCACAAGTAGAAAGGGATTAAGTGAGGCTTGAACCATATTCTTCAGATAATTGATCTGTCTTCTCTGTGGTCTCCTTTAAAATGCACCCCCACCCACAGTCTCCCTTTTCAAGATGTTTAGGCCCCCCAAAGTATAGATCTTTTGCCTTCTCCCTCTCCCGAGAAGTCATCAATAAAAGTGAGTTATTTAAATTTATGGCAGGAAGGATTGAATTTAAAGGTTCAAAGGAGCCTTCACTCAAAAGGCTGTGGGGATCTGAGAGAACCAAGGAGCTTGCAGGATGAATGACTTTTGTAGAGAGGAGAATGGGGACTGTTACACCCAGGAGCTAGGTCCACTTACCTGTGTCCCCCTCCTTCCTGCAGGCTTGGCCTGAGACGGGGAGCAGAGAGCCTCAGTAAGTAAATAATAGGTATAACCGGTTGGAGGGGCCAAATCTTATCTGCCCCCCTTTGTTGTGCATCCTCTTGGGAAGGGAGAAGGGGTCTGCGTCCTCTGTGTGTCTCCCTTTGCCAGGGGCGGTTTCTCTCTTGGGAGTGAGTCTTTGTGTTTGTGTGTAGGGTGGGGGGAGGGTCCTGGGGTCTGTTCTTTGCAGGGAGGTTCTATTGCAGTGGTTCTCAACCTGTGGGTTGCGACCCCTTTGGCGGTCGAACGGCCCTTTCACAGGGGTCGCCTAAGACCATTCTGCATACCAGATATTTACATTACGATTCATAACAGTAGCAACATTACAGTTATGAAGTAGCAACGAAAATAATTTTATGGTTGGGTCACAACATGAGGAACTGTATTTAAAGGGCCAGAAGGTTGAGAGCCACTGTTCTATTGGTTTTGTCTGGGGTGTGGAAGGAAGTTCTGTGACCTTATTCTCGTGAGCGAGACTTTTATTCTTGGGCGGGAGGAATCTGTGTCCCACTTCGAAGAGGGAAGGATTCTTGAGTCTGTTTCTTGGGAGAAGGGGGTCTGTGTATCTGTTACTTTGGGGAGTTTGCCTGTCTGACTCCTAGTAGGGAGGAGGGTCTGTGCATTTCTTCCTGGAGGAGTTGTTGGTATGCCTGTCTCCTGGGGTGGAGGGCGGGAAGGGGGTTTCCTCCCTCCAACAGCCACTCTCTGCTCAGCCCTGGACAGTGATCTCACCTGCCAGCCCGGCTTGGCCCGGGGCCCCGACCGCCTGCTACCTTCAAGAGCAGGAGCGGGCTCCGACACCCTGGAAACGAGCACTCCTGGCTGCAGCGGCTCACTCTGCGGCTCCCCAGGCTGTGTCAAGGAATTCAGCTGCAGAGACTTCTCCGGACGTTGAACACCTCCTCTCCTGCTCCAAGAACCCTAGCCTTTGCCCCAAAGACTTGGTCCTCTGTCTTAGACGCCCCTACCATGGATCTGGCCCTCGCCTCATTTCTCCCTTGTGTCCCTCACCTTGGACCGTAAAGTCTCAGTCTTGCCCTTTGAACCGCCCGCACCCCTCTTTTCCTGGGACTCTTCCTTTGCAATAAAAATGTTCTGCAGTGGACTGAGCCACCAGGCTGTTCGCACATGGATTCCTCAGAACAAAGACAAAGCTGGCCAGATTTGGGGTCTGGACCCTACCCAGAAGCAACCACCCTAGCGTGGGGTCCATTGTCAGCTCTTCCTGGCAGAGGAGCTGAGAACTGCAACCATTCATCCACTCATTGGCTACAAACACGGAGTGGCCTCTGGGGGTCAGGCATAGTGCTCGGTGTGCAAGATGACATGCTAGTCCTGGCTCCCTGGAGATGACATTCTGGTGGGGAGGGGGGCCCTAAACATGAAAGCAGACCAGAAAGAGAATGGAGTGGGCTAGGGATGAGGGCGCGCCTTCTGTGCCCAGGCAGGGGCTCTTGAGGACAGGCCCAGGGAAGATGCCCTTGCAGATTGGGGCTGGGGATCTGAGCACAACTGGGAGGCTCAGGCCTGAGTTCTAGTTTCACAAGTGACCTGAGGGCGGGCTGGGAACAACGTATGACGGTGGAGGAAAGCCTTTGGAATCAGACTGAGGTTCCAGCTCTGCTTCTACTCCAGGTCTGTGGTGTAGTGTGGTTTGAGTTTTCACAAGGTAACTAACTGGACTTTAGGGGGCAGAAGACAGGCCAGTTTGGAGGGTTGGGTGGCCAGTGGAGGGCTGGATTTCTGAGCTCTTGCCTTGGCACACAGCCTGAGAGATGTCCCTATCTATTGAGCTCACATTCTTGTCTATTGCACAAAGGTTTACATCATCAGTGCGTCTGGGAAACAAAGGTTTCTGCTTTCTAAGTCCCTGAGTAGGGCTAAGGTGCGTCATTGGCCCGAGGCTCTGGCTTTACCTTTTAAGGTAATACTAGTGCTAGGGTGTCTGCTGTGTTTTCCTGGGTCCCTGCCCAAAGGTATCTAACAGGCTCCCTTCCTGGGTAAACAGGAATCTCATGCCAGAGGAATGGAATGGAAACATGGCTGGCAGGCCACCAGCTCTTGAAGGGTAGGGGACATGGCCCCACCGGACTCCTGCATCAGCCCCATGACCCATACTGACTAACACCAATGATATAAATGTTCTTACCGACACTCCCAGTGCAAATCAGCTCCTGAAAGCAGAGCTTGCCCTTCTGCAAGAGTTTTTGGTTGGGCATTTTGCCCAGGAGTTGCAGGCAGGATTTCTGATGAGCCTACTGCAGCCTGCCCCACAGAGGACTGGCTGCTGCCTGCATTTTTCCTTTCTAAATCCCAAGCCTGACATCAGTCCAAGAGATTCCAGGAGCTTGGAAGGTTGGAATCTCTTGCCGAGCCAGGGCCACGTGGGCCACAGCAGTGTTTGCAGCTTGGAGACTGATTCTCGGAGTGGCTCCCCTGGCTGTGGACCACATTCCAGCCTGGGGTGGGGGAGAACTACCTGGTGCATTTATGGGGAGTCATTCATCTTCCCATTTTTGAGCTTTATGAGTTGGGATGACTTCTGAAGGGAGGAGGGTTGTCACCAGCGCAGTCATCGCTTTGGGGACCTCAAGGTGTCAGCCCTCTGTTGGCTGCTGATGCCTGTCTCACACTTAATTGCACTCAAATATGTTGGGTGCAGCTTAGCTGTATTAGTGTCTCTCTTTGAGCCTTAGGTCTGGACTCCTGACAGGTGTTACAGCTCAGAGGGCTGGTTAGAACAATTGCACGCTCTGGAACTCTCCCACGGCTCTGCCCTGCTCGGAATTACCTGGGATTGATACAGTCCCTTAAAAGAGCCTTTGGCTCCTGGTCTATCAATACATATTCATAATTATTTCTGTTGCCCTGAGCACTAGGGGTGGGGGTTAACATCTCTGCTATAGTTTTCTGGGCCTGGGCCTGGGCCTGGAAATTTAGATCCGCTCTGCTGTATAGATGTATGTTCAGGGCTCGCCTTGGCCCATAGTGAAGTCAAGGAGCCATCTCCCAACTCCTACCACCTCTTGCAAGATCCTCATCAGTGTCAGAGCGGGGGCGTGGAGGGGGGACGTTTCCCTGAAGAAGGAGCTCAATGACTTTGGAAGACATGAATAATTCTCACTGTACTTCAGTCTCTAATCACAGATATAAGTGTAAATAGAGGCAAAGCAAATAATACTAAAGATAAACATACATCGTCATAAATTTGTGCCAGGCACTAAGTGCTATATATGAAGTTCCTCAATCCTCCCATCAGCACTGAGGTGGGTGCTCTTTTTATCACTCTCACTAGAGATGTGGAAACTGAGGCACAGGGAGGGTAAGTAAATTGTCCAAGGTCACTCAGTGAGGAAGGAACAGAGCCCAGGCCGTCTGGCCCCAGCGTTTGTGTGCTCACCTCTCTGCCACATCATCTTCGTGTTAGGTGCTGTTTGTGAGGTAATTTACCAGCAATGGCAGGTCTCCAAACCTCAAGGGACTCCATTTTTAAAAAAGTCACCATATCAAAGGCTTTTTGAGAGTTTCAATTATGTACTTATCCTCAAAAAAATTCTAATAAATTACTCAGCCCCGAGTCTTCCCCACCACAACAACAGTGATTTTCCTTAAGCTTTGAGTGACTGGAGAATCAGCTTACAGGGGTGCACAGGGATGTTTTCTGTGGTTTGGTGAAATGAGCTCCAGAGATGCACACAGGTTCAAACCCCAGCTGTACCATTGACCTCAGCAGGGGGCCCAATTACTGAGCGTCTCTGAGCTCTGGCTGCTTCATCTGCAAGATGCATCATAAAAGGTGGTGTGGATGAAATCTCTAAGGTTGTGTGAATAAAACTGCACTGTTCGTGGGCCCAGCTCAACCCTTGGCTAAATCTCAGACTGCTGTGAGCCCAGGGACAGAAGATTGTAGTGGAGACCCCAGACTAGGCCTTTTCTGCTCCATGGGACTTTTGGGATCCTCCCAAACCCCAACCCTCGAGGATAACAGAGGTGAACACAAGGCCCAGGGTTGGCTACATTGATTTATTGGAAACACAGATCAAGACAGAGAGGAACGGAGGAGGAAGGGGAGAGGCTGGGGGACCCTGGCCACTGGCCCCATGGCAGCCCAGGGTAGGGTCCTGGTTCTGGTCCTTCCTGTCCTGGAGCCCCCTTCCTGTGGGCACGGGACTTCTC